GAACGTTTGTGAGAATAAAGCCACAAGAATCCGAAAATACAAAAAGTCGTTTTATCAGAAGCTTAGGATCATACCTTAAAGTCCAAACAGACTTCTTGTTGGTGGAACGTGGGAGGTTTATAAATCTTTCTACATCTTTTGGAATTTTGTTTTAAAGCATAAAAACACTCGACTTCCAAAACAAAGACATGTGGGAGGATGGGAATAACGTTAAGTTATCGAAAACCAAAAGAGTGTGTTTTTTGTTTTGTTTTTCCGTTGTTCAAATATTGACTTTTTTCTTTGAATATAAAAAAAGAAAAAACATTTTTTTTTATCCTTTATACTCAAGTCTGTGTGTGAAATTCAGAGTATTTCAGGTAAATGTTCGCTTCCTGAAGAGACACCTTTGTTTGCACCTTTCCAGTTAATTAGACGTTGCTGATAGCTGCCTCTGTGTTGGGTTGAAGGCTCGGTTCCCTGCAGGTGCTTTCTGTCAGTTGCAACATGGCAAAACATCAGTGATGCTCTCCCACCGGTCTAGCTGGGAACAACCCGAGTGCACAGTGAGGGCGCAACCAAATGCCGGCCATGTCGCCTCTGCTGCTGTGCCAGCCTTGGCTGGGTCCATCAAGTGTGGGAGACACATTAAATATTAACTTAATTGGTCCCCGCAGAGCCCTGCTAACATATGGCAAGCATCAGACGGAAATGTCACAATTTCCCCAGAGCTCCCGTACACTTAGGATCAAAGACAATACCACTGCTTCTAATCTGCTGTAATAGCGAGATAAGCGTAAGGCAGGCTTAAGTGTTGCATGCGTGTGCGCGCGTGTCTGTCATGCTCCCTGATGGAGGCTTGTCAGAGCAGACTGACAGGGAGAAGCTCAGCTTCCAGAACAGTTTTTTCATCTCCTTTCAGAAGTACAGAAATGCTTATTTCTAGGAAACTTCCTTAAAAAAAAGTGCAGAAGCTCTGTCAGAAATTGCACCTGAAGTTAAGGTGTACTATAGATTAGTACATGCAGGTAGTCCACTGTGCCACCTACTGCAGCTTGCTACCCTAAACTCTAATAGCAGCCAGAGTGAGCGACTAATCATAAAAGGTGCATTTTAAAGATAGTGATTAGTGATTAGGCCTAGCCTCTCCAGGGAAGTTTAATCTCCACTCAAAGTAGTGAATGTACTCGCCAAATGAGCTGCTGCCTTTGTAATAGCACCAAGAGCAGCGTGGTGTCCAGATTACTAAACAGTGAGGGCCATGTTTTAAATCACTCACTAAAAACTACAAAGCCCCGGAGATGCCGTGGCTTACCACAGAACCAGGTTGTGTTAGAGACGGGGAGCTAATGCACTCAAGGGCGTCGAGGGAGACGCAGAATACGGGGAGCGCGGGTGCTGCAGTCAACAAGCTCAGATGTCCTTTTCCTGGCTAAAAGAGGCAGAATGAGAGCTAACTAGAGGAAAGGGTGGTGAGAAAGAGAGTTTTTCTGCTCTCTGAAAGCCTTCCTGCAGCCAATGCAAAATACAAGGTCACTGCAGCAGTACTGCTGGATCAAAGTGCCAGTATGTTAACTGAGGATCTGATTGCCAGTGAGTGTATGCCTTCATATCTATCAATATATAGATGTTTTTTGTTTGTTTTCTTTTTGTTTTAAATTGAACACATTTTAAATTTTGCATGAGCAGAACTTGAAGGGCTGCAAATTAATTTCAAAGGTACATGACGACAAGTAAAGAATATGTAAACTGGAACACAAAAATATGCTGTTTTCTTTTTTTCCTCCAGCCTTACATGACTAAACTTAATAAGTGTTTAATTAATGGGAAGACCTTTAGGATGTACTGAAGATTTCAATCATTTATTTCAATCAGAGGTGCTGGAGAAACAACCCAAAACAAGCAGGAGCTGTGCCGCTGGACGGGACAGTGTCATGATCTTGGCGCTGATGGTTTGGTTTTTTCCTTTGCTTCTTGCTCCCGTGTCTAATTGGTTCTGCGGCTGATTATCGCCGATCATTTCCACCTGGTTCCTCTACTATTTATGTTGTGTGTTTGCCTCCCATCACCGCCAGGTTGTTTGAGTGTTATGGTGAGGAACTCTGGGGGACAACTGCGGTCAAACCTCCCTCCTGCATTCTGCTGTGTTCTTCGCAAACGGACTGAACTTTGAATCAGGTCAGTGACTTAGCTCCAAGTCGAATTCAGCTCCACATCCAATCACTGACCTGTATTGTATCATCTCTGCAGAGATCCGTCCCGCAGCAGACGAGCAGCCCCGCGCTCCTGTTAGTTTATATTAAACGTTTTGAACTTTCACACTGCCTGACTCGCCTTGAATTCTGGGTCCAACATTCTGAGATCATTACACAGCCCTGGTTTAGTGTGTTTAAAAGGAACTTTACGTGGTAGATCAGCACACACACAAAAAAAAACGTGTTTTTCAAAAGATTTTACAAATCAGTAATTAAAATCGTATCTATTATTCCACCTTTAAGATATGAAATAAAAAAGTGCTTCAGAAGAGTCAACAATGCATAAAAAACAAGAGAAACTGATAGTAAAAAGAGATTTTTAACTGTCTTTTAAAAGATTCCACCGAGTTGCAGAGTCTGGGGACCTTCGAACAGAACCCTCTCCTTTTGTGTTTATCTTAGGATGGGGCCCCATCAGCAGCACCGGGGGACCTACAGTACGGGTGGAGAAACTAATGATACAGCCTGGTACCTGTCCATGAACAACCCTCAAAGTCAGTAAAAGATTCTTCAATTGCACTCTGAAATAAAATAGAAGCCAACTTAGATTGGAGAGATTTGTGAAAAGGAAAACCTGAACTGTTACCTCCATCCCCCCTTTACTATGACCCCCTTAAATAAAACAACTGATACAACAAACTTCCTTCTAAGTCGTCTCAATGAAATAAATTTTTAGCATAAATCCAGCTGTTCTGTGAGGGGTTTAGAGGTCTGATTGAGGACATTTATGAATAAACAGCATCTTAAAGCTGAAGTCTATAAGTTTTTAAAAATCACTTTTTTGTCATATTGGCTAAAACTGTCCCTACGCCCAGACAGCAGTACATGTGATATGTAACCTGTGAAAAAAACTGCTTCAATTGGTCCCGCATACTGCCTGTATTTCAATCTGGAAAGAAAAATTCGGGACGAGTCAAAACAACCAATCACAGCCAGAGGAGCGGCTGATGGAGTGTCAATCACAGCCCCCCCCACCGCTTAACCTGCCGCAAATCTACCAGGACCAAGGCCATATCTTTAAAAGCCTGAGTAGGTAAGGAGAGCTCTATTCAGAAGCAGTCAAGAGGTTCATGGTTATTCTGGAGGAGGTGCAGGGATCTACAGCACAGGCTGGAAAATCTGCCAACACCACACCGCAAATTTGAAATTAAAGAAAAGTATTCGTAAACTAGGTGTATTTCCCTTGATTTGAGCAGGCAATTAAACAATTTGCCAATGGAATAAGATCATTTATGTTTAAAGTTAAGAAAAGAACAATCCATTATACTATTTCTGCAGCAAAATATCTACTATTCTTGTTTTAAGGGCAAAAATACTGATTCCTTTAGCAGATCAGCTTCTTTACCTGCCTCAATTAAGATAAAATGCACTCATTTGGATTTTTTTTATTTATTTTTAGATCCGTTTTTGCAGTGCACAAATGATAGCTTGTTTGCTCAAAGTCATGTAGGGAACATACCAATGTGTAAGTTCTTTTATTAGGTTTTAGTGAAATTAACTTCTGGCTTACATGGGACAAAACAACTCAACATAAGCACTACATGCCCTTTGTGAAACACGGTGGTGCAAGAATAATGCTGTGGGACAGGGAGGCTGCTCAGATTTACTCAAAACATGTATGTATCTATATAGAGGCCAAACATGGAAGAGACTGTTTGGGACTGACCCAGACCACAGAGCCTTAGCTAATATAGAACACGTTAGCATAAAACATACACATCAAAATCAAAGGTTAAGGCAGCAGAGTTTATAGGAAATATATGTCAAAACAATATCAGTATGTGCAATATTTGTATCGCAAAGAACTGTTTCATGTATTACGATTACTACATAAGATCTTTCAAGTTCAATTATCCTGATATTTACATGCTAATTATGTACTATATAGCTAGCCTTACAGCATATGCTATGTTGGGCGACAGTGGCGTCAGATGTAGGAGTTTGCCCGGCAACCGGAGGGTTGTCGATTAAAGCCTTGGCTCCGGCTTTCAGTGCTGTTGTGTCCTTGGGCAAGACACTTCACATGCACTGCCTATTGATGGTGGTGCCAGTGTTCGGCAGCCTCGCTTCTGTCAGTGAGCCCCAGTGCAGCTGTGGCTATAATGTAGTTAGCCACCATCAGTGTGTGAACGACTGAATGAAGTGTAAAGTGCTTTGTTCAAGTCCTCTGACTTAAAAAAGCGCTTTATAAGTACAGACAATTTATCATATGTTTAAACTGCATATAAATGATTTTAACCCCAAGATGCAATTAAGTAAAGTACAAATTAGAGAGAGAAGAAGAAACTGGCACCTAATACTGCAATATTTACCATGACAACCACCATCAGGAGATGCTCTAATATAGAGCAGCTCTCCTGAATTTGACTGTTTTTTCAAAGACTTGTGTAAAACCTCCTCATCTGAATGTACAAAGATAGTAGAGACAAACCCTGAGAGATTTTCAGCTCTTGTTGTGGAAAAAGGTGGTTCTAAAACTAATAAACCAGACGGGCTAAAGTCAAACGCATCCCCCACCTTTCTCTTTTTCATTTGCTAAAAACCTTAAAAAGCATGTATCCTCTTTTCCTGTCGGTTTATCCCATATAATCCCTTAAAATACATTGAACTTTTAGGTTATAAGCCTACAAAATTGGTATCTATACTTTTACATGGTGCTGTGTTACAGCAGAGGCGTTTGCAGCTTTCAGTTTATCATCAATTTCTGGCTTTCGGCGCTAATTTCAGCGTGAACTCTGAGTAACTTCCACTGTTTATGTCCTGCAGCCATCCACAGACCGCGGTGGTGTGCCCTACCTTTGTGCGAGCGGGTCAGCCATTACAGCCAGCCCAAGTGGATTCTAGTGGAAGAGCCACTTGTGGCTGTGGGTGGTGACAGTGGAGGAGAGAGGAGCAGCTTTTGAGAGCGACTGAGAGGTATGTAGAGAGACTAAAGGGAGCACTGGGGGTTGGTGGGAAAAGATTGGGACAGACTCTCCTTTTAATTTACTAATTAACCATGCAAATGAAATCTTAACAGGCTACTCAGAGGCAGTCCTCGAGGGAGGGAGCAAAGGCATTAGCGCTTGATTATACTCTGTCCATGTGGAGAGGGAAAAAGTGCAGTAAAATATGTCAGTGCACAAAGTGCAGAGGAACTTATTGGCTTGCAGCAACTGGGCAGAGTAAAGGACATCACTGAAAGAAACAAATAAGCTCATCTAACACCACATGTTCTTATCTTAATCTACCATTAGGGAAATTCATTCAGACAAAATGTTTTAAAAGTCTTAAACTAAGCTCCCTTTTTCTGCAGAAACATAATCACACATCAAAACACTCAGGTTGGTACATTAACTGACCTTAAAGACATCTTGAGTGTCGTCCATGCAGTACACCCTGATGTTGTACTCCAGCGTAGAGCAGTAGGCGTCGGAGAAAAGGACCAGCCTCAGGCGTTTGGCTGCGCCCATGTGCAGTGACTCTCCCACCAGGGCGAAGGTGCCCAGCTGCTCGGTGAACAGGCGGCACGTCTCGGCCTCGAGCTGGCAGTAATAAGGCTCTGACACCAACTCCTCCCCCATCAGCAGGACGTCCTGGAGGACAGAAGAAAGGAACACAAGATGTGGACGGAAGGTCAAGCACCCAATTTATGTAGGAGGGAAGGGTAATGTGTTCGGCTCGTTGCCTGATGTATGTGTAGGAGTGTGTTTGCAGAGGGCTTGTTAGTAAAGTGGCGCAGCAGCAAGGACCCAAACTACATTGTTCCTGCGGTGTGACATCTAAGCCGAAGGTCTTCAGGGTAATGTTACATAAAGTTCTAGGCAGCAGTTCGGATCAGAGGAAAAGCATATACTTTGTTCTTGCTTTAGATTGCCTTTTTTCACCACAGGGACACTTACTACACGGAAAAATAAAGCCACATTCTTCTCATACAAAAGCACACGTCCTATAGAATACCATTGGTTTGCTTAATAATGCATGATAAAGATCCTCCATTGACATGAAAGGAGACCCGAATGGATTCCTGGCAAGGACAGATAGTGGAGGAATAAAGTAATGTGGAGTTGCAGTGATTAATGGATTATTGGTGTTTTTTTGAATTTTCTTCCATGTTTTTCTTTCGAGATTCGATGAGAAAGCTGAAAACAACTCGCCAATTTATCTGTACTGATGCCTGTAAAAGTGTTAAAAACAACCTGCAAGCATCACAAGAATTAATTGGTTCTTTAATTTACCACATGGTGGGGAACAACAACAGAAAAAAAAAACACACAGAAGAGGCGACACCTTGCATTTCCTGGCTTTGTTATGATAAAGTTCTGAATATTAACGAGGAAGAGAGAGAGAGGGAAAATATCCAGTTTCATCTGCAGCACTTGATAGCTTTTTATGAGATGATTCCTAGACTCTCTTGGCTAATTTGATTGAGACAAACTGGGCCCAAGGTGACAACATTTTCTCTAAAATCACATCATGCCAGTTGACTGACTCTTCCCATTAGCCAACCGCGCTAAAGAGAGAATTGTGCCTGCCAAATGCGCAGCGAGCCCCTCAAGGATCGATTCACACAGACACCATCTACATCAATAGAATTAGTATCGACACAATTCATTTTCTATGCAACCACAATGGAGTCTCCCTTCTTCATCATCTTAATACTCCTTTAGTGAAACACAAGCTCTGTTTCGCAGCAGAGAGGCTCATTTCTGCATGCTCTCTGTTTTCCACATCTCTCCTTACGCCGTCCATTTTTGTGTTTTTTCCAATAGATCTGTGTTACCTGCTCGTTTGCATCCATCTGTTTCCATTTTTTCTCTCTGCTATCAGTTTCTGTCCCTTTCTCTGCCTCTTTCCACTCTCACTCTCGTCCACCTGACTCTTAGCGGCCACGCAGTCAGGCCGTCGGGCTATATTTGGACCGTCCAATGATTAAAAGTGCTGGTCTAACCTCAGCCTCAGACAGGCCAATCCATCCCACAGACACCCCACCGCTGCCACATAGAGGTTGGGGGAGAGGCTGAATAATTTATGCACAATATCGAACATGAAAGAAGACCTAGTAACACTCCAAAGCCCACCAGCACCCTTTCCAATCTCTCTGGGTTGTTGAGATGGGTATACTGCCTGGAAGTGCGATTTTGTTTGTGAGTCTGTGTGCACACCCAAGTTTGTTCTCAACGACAGTATTTTCATCTGCGCTCAAATTTCATGGGCTGAAAAATACAGAGAAATCTGTAAATTGGAAGCAGCAGTCAGAAACGGTCAAGGAGCACTCAGAAGAGCTCTTTGAGGATGAGTAATTTGCTTACAGATTTTCTATTTTTCCCAAACATGTTGCAAAGCAAACCTTTAGCAGGAGTGAACCAGCTGATGGACAGCACAAAGGGATTTAGAAAAGTATTCCCACTATCTTCATCTGCTTTGCATTCTGTTGATTTAGAATAAAAATGGATGTGTTTTATGGTGAGTTAGTGTGTTAGACCAACAAATACGACTCACTAGTGAAATCTGTAGGAAATAAGCATGATTATTAAATCTATGCATTTGTCTTCAGCAGAGGTGGGTATTCAATTCACATGACTTTGACTTGAGTCATTAATTTTCTGACTTTAGAATTGAATTGAAATGATCCTCAGAGAATTGTGACTGGACTTAGACTTAAACAGCAATGACTTGAAGCTGTTTACTTAAAAAAAAAAGGTTTTACCCAAAACCTAAAGACCGAAACAGGGGTTACACTTTATAATAATCATACAATGGTAGACACACCATTTATTAATGATTAACAGATGGTTTATTATTGTTTGATTAATGTCATCCCTACCTGTGGTCATCAATCTCTATAATGCATATCCCCCAACCCCAAGTAATTGCCATTTATGCACTATTTTTGCACGCCACGTATCACTTTACTTGGATTTTCACTTTACTTGGATGTAGTTTTTACATATGCATATAGATATACATACATACATATACATACATATTTATATATATATATATATATATATATATATATATATATATATATATATATATATATATATATATATATACAGAAGAGATATATGTGGTGTATATATTTGATCTCTTTTTATCTCTTATTTTTATTTTATATATATATATATATATATATATATATATATATATATATATATATATATATATATATATATATTTTTTATATATATATATATATATATATATATATATATATATATATATATATATATATAACTGTAACTGGAGCGTGTAACAAAAGTAATTTCCCTCTGGGATTATTAAAGTATTTCTGATTCTGATGTATAAACTATAAAATGATGAGCACCGTTAACTAATTTCACTCATTCCCTATTAGCAAACTCAGACCATCTCTCTCTAGTTATGTGTGGTTGAGCTGCAACAGAGTCAATCAAATTGATCAGATTTATTAAAATCACAAATATTCCCTAGAAGAGTAAATTCTTAGGGGTAGATAAACTTCAAAGTACTTTATAAAGAAGGGAATGCAAAATGCAAACACGAAACAAAGGGATGGAAGAATTTCCAACTTTTGTCCAACATTTGAAGTTGCATAAAAAATTATATGTGGTGATTTTCTTTTGCTAAGATGAGATAGCTGACATCAACTATGAGCGTTTCTGAACAAGACTTAAAATTGTTCTCAGTAGCAAATTTTCAGTTGTCAAGGTTTATTCATTTAATGATATAGAATCAGTAAAAAAAAGCACACATAGTCAATTATTTCCATTTAATGTATGATTAAAATTTGTTGAAAAAAAAAAAAAATTAAAAAAAGACTTGGATTTGCTTAAGAGTCGACTCTGACTTTACTGTATTTGCTGGTGAATGGGTTATATCACAGCTCCACTATTCAATGAACTAGCCTGCTGCTTGGTTTCTTACATTGCAGGACCTGCTGATTAATCTGTGTGTGTCTGACCTCAGTAACCATGACAACATTGGCCAGCCACTACTGCCCAGCAATAAAAAACAAGAAACAAAGGAGCTGGCTGAAATGCAGGAGGTAGTGGAGTTGGGCATAGAGTCTATTGATTTGAGGCTAAAGACATAAGGCTAACGAGAAACTTGCAAAACAGTGGCTTGGTCTTTTTAACCCTGTTTACTGGAATAATCCTAAATAACATCAAGTGCAACCAATCCATATACAAACAAAGCAGTTGAAGCCAAATATATAGAGTAACACAAAAATTGTACACTGTAGTGATCACTATTTATGAAAGGGGAAACTTGATGATTTCAAAAAATAAAACATGTAAAGTTCTGCCTATAGTGTCAATAAAGGTTTATCAGGAGTTGGACTGGTCTTCTTGAACATATGAATGTTGATCACAAAAACACGTGGGAGGCAAAGAAAGAGAAACTAAATAAGACAAGAACCCTTGGACTAAAATATGAGGAGAGTGAAATAATCACCTGGTTATGTGTTCATTTAATCTGTTAAGCTTTTAGCTCCAAACAAACAAAAAAAATGTTTGATGCATATTTTTGGCAGATCTTTTGGAGTCGGCAAAATAATATTGCACAGGCATCTGTTGGGGGCATTTCTGGTGGTCTTTCTGCAGCTCATATAGTTTAGATTGATATCCAAATGATGTCATATTGAAGAAAACTATGAAATATATTGTAATATAAGCTTTTGCAATATTGTCCAGCCCTACATGGAGGTGGGTGTATCATGCTGTGGGACAGGGAATTTTGGTCTGAGGTTGATGTGAAATAGCCTCGTGAGACCATCCTGATCTCGCGAGCTTTCAAGGTTTCACTCGCAGATCAGTTTGGAGACTCTCCGTTAAAGAAAATTTGGAGCCGTTCACCAAACGAACGTCCAATCAGTGTTGGCTTTGAGGCGGGTTGAGGTGTGACGCAACGAGAAGTGCGACAGTTCAGTCTAAAGAACATGGCGGCTTCAGCCGATGAAACTAGCGTTAGCGTGGCTATCGAGCAAGTTTTATCGGAATTACAGAGTATTTCTTCACTGAAAGAAGAGCAAAACACTGCTCTGGAGGCTTTTCTCAGAGGAAAAGATGTTTTTGCTCTTCTCCCGACTGGTTTCGGCAAGAGTTTGATCTATCAATTGGCTTGTGGTTGTGTTTTCGTCGTCGCTCTGTTAGTACGTCATATGCTTCGTTGATCTGATTGGTTTATTTGGCCCGTTTATCACCAACATAGGCCAATCAGCTAACCAGTATTTTCGCCCCTTCCCAAAATTACTTCAACGGAAGGTTTCCATATGGATATGCGGAGCAAATCCATCTGGCAGATACAGGTTAGATGTGAACATGGATGAATTGAGGGTGATTATAAAAGAAAAGCTATATGTTTGCAACAGTTTAACCTTCTATTAGAGCAACAGGCCAAAACACACAACCTGAGCTGCAAAGGAGACTCTGTATTAGAACGGTCAAGGCAGAGTCTAAATGGGAATGTACAGTCAGATTTCTGTGAAATAAAGTGTATAGATCTGAAAATACCTTATGCTAAAACATCAGCTGTTGCAATTGCAGAAAAACGAAACAACTTTTAAGATTTTTGTTGGTGAAGCCCTTGAAAGGCACCCCTTTCCCATTCACTTGATAATTATACAATTCTTCCTGTTGCTCGATCAAAACAAATCCAACAAATTACATTTTAACGTTTGAAATAAAAGTGGCTAAATATAAAAAAAATTTAGGATGTAAGTACGCTCCAATTTCCACCGTTGAGGAGTGCTAGTGATGGGGGGATGGTGGTGTGCATTTCAAGACACAAGCCGAAAAAGTTTGTATTTTTCACACAGAAACAATCAATAAGTTCAGTAATACAGTAATACTGACTAGCGGCTTTGTCTTCCTACAAAAGGATTTGTGCTTGAGCTGCAGTGTAGTCTCACCTCCCAAGCGCCCTCGTAGTTCTGCTTCTTGAGGCGGACGGCCCAGTTATCGAGGCACGCATCAAAGCAGTGGTCCATGCTGAGGATAACAGGCCGACTCAGGACCACCCCTGGAGGGCCGCAGCTCACAATGGGGCTCAGCAGGGTCTGGCAGCCGGCCAGCGGTAACCTACAGCAGGAACAGGGATAGGCGTGAATGTGTTAAGATGAAGTGCTTGCAATTATTTAGATATTAGTGGGAATTTACTGCTCTCTTTGTGGCAGGGTATGATACTGTCACCCCTTCAAATTACCCAGCAGCTGGAATGCAGAATAATTAAAACCTGCCGGACTCAGAGATGAGCTGGGCCAAATTTGGGAGACTGGCTTCCATTATAATACTATCTCAGCAGGCCGCGTTGGCTGGGCTTCTAGAGGATGAGTGCAGTAAGCCAGATAAACATTGCTTTCCAAACAATTCATTTAACTTAAACAGTGCACATCCTTGTAAAAGGCTATGTTATTTATTTACATCCCTCCTCCGCAGTACTGGCACAGCCTCTTAAGCCATTCCTAATGGAACAGTAGAGCATCAAAACAAACAGCCTAGTGGCATTCAGGGAAGACTGCCAGTTAGACAGCGCTAAAGAGACCCACCTTAAATCTTCCTTCCGCTGAACAGTGAGATAAATCTCATAGATCTTTCCTCTGGGGATGGCCTCGGGAGGAATGAGCAGGCTGATTCCTAATGCAAATAACAACAAAAGGGAGAGAAATAGGAGAGGGGCGTGTGAGCATGTGGGGGACAGCCTCATTTGTTCTGACTGAACACTGCTTTTGTCATCCCACAAAGGGAGCCAGCCCACTTGACAAACTGTACTCATGAAAAATAACAAAATGGCAAAAAAAGCAAATCTATTTTGAAGGTCAGAGGCAGCCTCCTTCAGGTGCAGCGGTTGGAAATCTGTATGCCGGCAGCCGCGGCGGCACACGTCCCCGATGTCAACAATTAGCTGAGACAAAAGCGCGCGCTGCAGCACAGTTTAAATGTCCTCCGTCTGCCACAAAGTAGATAATTGAGACCATGGAACAGACTACTTCAGGAAAATTGCACTTCCCCAGGAGATTGTTAGAAATGTACGTCGGAGAATACGGGGAGATACTGAAGCAGTTTGAGTGCTGCAGCATTTATGTTGTGATTCCTCAGCTAAAATTACCCACTCAGAATGCCATTTAGAATATGGGCCAAACAGCGAATGTGACACTATTTTAACAATTTCTCATTTTTTTAAACCGGGTCCGTTCAGCATCAAACTGCATCTGTTTGAATGGGTCGAAGGTGCCTGAATGTTTGCGTTCGCATCTGAATCTATAAAGCGTGCGCTTGCTCTGAAGCTGTGATGAATGACAGAATAGCTCCTTTTACTGGATGCATGCAAGTGTAAGATTTCTTTTCCATCCTGAGTCCCTATGAGAAGATAGGTGCCAATGCGTGGTACAGTCAACATGGCTTTCAGTTAATCCACGCATAAAGAATCTGTAAGAGACGGGAAGAGAAAACACACAGACACAAAAACAGAGGGAAAGCATCGGCAAAGGAGAACAGGAAAAAAAGGCCCTTTTCTTCCAGTAGATACTGTCGTGCTGGCATCAGCTAATCTGGACAGCCTACAAAGAGCCAAGTGGAGGAACTATCTTCCGGTATAATTATATAAGCTCTATGCTCTGCTGCTGTAAGAAGGAGAAGTAAAACAGCAGAATGATGATGGACTTTTTTTTTTTCATTTTAAATTGTATCTGGATAATCTTCACTTTGACTAACTTTATTCCTCCATTCAGGCTCTTTGCACACGGATGACATCTGTGGATATGGGCTACAATTTGCACCTGCTCTGCCATTAGTCAAAGGCTTAATTGGAGTCATTTGCACAAGGTTTTATTGCAGGGATCTTTCTGAGCAGAATCTTTGTCATACAAATTAATTTCATCTCAGAACATTCATTTTTAACTTTTCATGTCTGCTTTGGAGTAAAGATCACCGATAGGGCGTTTGACCAAATTATTCACGGACGCCACCGAGGGCAGAGCTACACTTTGCTCCACTGTCCTTTCGTTTATGTTTTTTTTTTTATTTTTTTTTTAAAGAAAATCAATTTATTTTACAATAGTTTATCATCCATACAACTAAAGCGCATGGCCATCTTTTCTAACTGTTTTACTATTTTGTTGTTAAATGTTTTTCCATTAAAATAAAATCGATCCTTCAAACAAAAGGTTTCAATGTAAAAAGTTATCTGTTTATATAAATAAGGAAACAGAGTTTTCTTTAAAAAAAAAAAAAATGTTTTAAGGTCACCTGATCCGATATCAGAAATCAGTCCGATATCATCCAAAAAACGTATATCTGAATATTTTGGTCTCAATATCAGCAAGCTAATAGAAAAACTCCACTTCTATCCACATTTGTTTTAAAAGTAATCCATTAGTTGATTAAAAAAAATGGTCAGCTGTTCTCATTCCTGTTGTAACTATTGAGAAATATCCATTGATTAAGCCTTTTTTAACATTCCATGCTAGATAATAAATAATTAAAGTTGGTATAATTCATTCCAATATCATATCTGGTCAAAATCTATATCAGCTGCAATATTTGCATCTTATTATAAATGAAATTCCAGGTAGACACCTATGATGAACCCAATGGTATCAGTTAGCCCCAACGTTTAGAACAACCAACTCTACTGAAAAAAGTAACCAAACATAGCTAAAATAGAAGTGTTCAGACTGCATGTTGAACCACTGCGTGCTAAAATAATTAAAATCAGGTGATACAAGCAGAATTTAACTCTGATAAGATGTTTATCAGATAGTAGTCCATCCATTTAGAAAAATCCAAAGAGGACTCCAAACTGATTGATACCTGTTACAGTTTGGATCCTTTTGATTTCCACTGTTAAAATCCAACTTTATCTATCATGTAAAACGTGTTTGTTGGTTTTGAGCCTAATTTAAAACCAGTAGGACGATTGAGAGTGTAAAAGTGTTTTATACAGATTGTGATTTTAGTTCTACTTCATTTACGTCATCCATGGAAGGGTGCAAACGTTAGCCAAAGGGCCGATTCCAACAGTCTGGGACTAACCTGCAGTACAGTCAAAAAGTGTTGCTTTGCTACTTGTTTGACTTTTTACCTATTGTGTAAGACAGGGGTCCCCAAACACCGCGCTGCGGACCGGTACCGGTCCGTCAGTCATTTGGTACCGGGCCGCACAGAAAAAAATAAATATATATATATATATATATATATAATTTGTGAACGATCAGAGTCTGAGGGATGTTTTATTTTGAAAAATATAAAAAAAATTGGGGTATTCTCTCCCAATTGTATCAGTTGGTGCATCTATGCCTCTTGACACAGGTTAATTCAGGTCAAGAAGCATCCTATCTATAACATCCTATCTTTGTAAAGCGGGATTTTCTGCAGTCACAGCGACCAAAACAAAGCTACGGAGCAGACTGGACATCAGGAGCACACTTCGTGTGTCATTGTCTCCGATTATGCCTAGATGGGTTGGGCTTGTTTCGGAGAAACAAGCTCAGGGCTCCAACTAATTCAACATAATGGTGAGTTTTATTTTTATGCTGTTTGTATTTGATCTTATGCCAGTCGTATCATTTTATTTGATCGTATTTACCCCGCACACTTTAACCTCCTGACTACCAGGAAAAAAAATATTGTCCAATCACCATTTTTTAAAAATTCTACAATCTTTGTAAGGTAATTAGAATACTAAAAACATTTTTTTGTGAAAATAAGTTTTTATTTTTGAAATATTATGCGTCCTCTACAGTGGACATCAGAACGCCATACATTCAAAATTGAACCTTGATGGCAACCAGTTAGTCCCAAAGAAAATAACCAAACATCAACATAAGAATGAATTTTTTATTGACAACACTGTCCATCATCACAGTTGTTTTTCTTTTATGTGCTTAATTGCTATGAAACTTCAAAAAGCAATTCCCCTTCTTGGAAACGCAAAGGAACACATTGCACTTTGTGCACATCACATATGTTTGCTTGTGCAGCCAGATCTTCGACACCTTGACGCATGTGTTTCGTTCACCATCTCTGGAAGATGGATGGCACCATAGTGTCTCAGAGCTCCATTTGGCTGTGGTTTCCACTTTTGACGTGGAGGAGTGAAGTCATCTTAACTTTCACTTCCGATTCCTGCTTGGGCCTGAGTAGTCAACTCCTCACCAAGGAGCAGTTTGAAGTTGAACAACTTCAGTGGTTTCTTCCCCCAAAACTAGCTGTCACTCTTATACTGAAGCCATGAGTTGGTGATTGCCAGGTAAAAAAAGTGGACGCACTGTCCATTTCCAAGTGCGAGAAGCCATTCTGTAGAAACTCAACATTCGGTCAACCAAATCCACGCCACCCATGTTGGTGTTGTACTCAGCAATTGCCAGTGGCCTTGAAACCTGGACAAATCTTGTCTTTCTTGGACCATCTTCTGCGTGTGTCCTGAGGTTCAATGCCATAGGCAGAGGATGCCATGACAACTGGCTTGTTGTCCAACCATTTCATGACAACAACTTCAGGAGGGTTTCGTCTGACAACCATCTCTGATTCACCTCTACCCTTCTTTTTTAAGCTCTTATCCTCTATGATCTTACAATCCTTTGAAACCCTGTTACTCATGAGTGTTCCAGTTCCTGTTAACCCTTTTGTCGTGAGGGTATCAAGGAGATTGATTGTTGTAAAGAATCTATCAAAGAACAAGTGAGTTCCTCAAGGAACAAACTCTGCCAAATGAAGAACAGCTTGTTCTCCAATGCCATTTACTCCCGTAACTTGGAAGGTAGTCTTACCTTGGTAGACTACAAAGTCCAAGACCAGACCAGTTGGTGCAGCCAAGACAAACACCTTCAATCCAGTTGGATGTGGTTTGCCGGGTATGTACTGGCGCACTGGGCATCGACCAGTAAATGGAACAATTTTTTCATCAATGCACAATTTCCCTGTTTCGGAGCTCTCTGAATTAACTTCCTCTTCTTCTGCCTCAAACAATGCATCTTCACATTCTTTATCAGACAACTCTATATTTGAGTCTCCATCAATAATCCACAGTAAAATTCTCTCTGCATCTGAGAACGACTCCCATTCTTGTCATTTAAAAAATCAACAGAAAAAAACAGAACAAAACAGAGGAAGTAAATACAAATGTCCACTGTAGAGGACAATTTTTCAACTTTTAAATTCTGCTATAAAATACAGTGAAAATACTTTATAAAATGTTTCAATGTGTTGCTAAGAGACTTGTTTAGAATATGCCAACAAAATTTTAAACCAAAATTTGCACAATAAAAAGTATTAGCCACTTACTTTTTCTCTTCCCATAAAACCTGCTTGTACTGATGGCTGCCATTTTCTGAATGAGGTAAAGAAAGGTATAAAAGCCCCACCCCCTCACATTTGGTATCATTGAAAAGCCCTAAATGTCCTCTGTAGATACCAAAAGGAATTAATTCAGTAGTATGCAGTGGGTGGGAGATATTCAAGTTTACAAATGTCCTCTGCAGAGGACAAATTTGAACTACTGTTAGTCAGGAGGTTTTAAAGGCCGGTCCGTGAAAATATTGTCTGACATATAACCGGTCCGTGGCGCAAAAAAGGTTGGGGACCGCTGGTGTAATAGACAAGAAAATAGTTGTGAACCAACCATAGCACACTGCTAATGTTGCTAAAGCCACATCCACATGACCGTGCACACAAGTCAAATTATGGAGCTTACCATTGAGAGAAAGAAAAGGGTTATGACTAGGGCTCCGAATTAGACCTTTTAAAATTTTATTTCTCCTAAAAATGATAAAAAGTTAATTTGAAGACAAGCTCAGACAGATCTTATATATAAAACATCAGGTTATGTATCTTTTAAAAGTTGAAAGCATACAATCTGTGTTGAAACCTGTTGTATGTTTCTAGTACGAGAAAGACAAAGCTCACTAATCCTGGCTGATCAGCTCAGTTATTTTGGCTTTTAACTTTTTAATCAACCCGAACAACAACATAGAAAACTTGTTTTCTTTTGATCAGTTTTCTTTTAGAATAACTAAAATAACTAAATAACTAAACAGTATTTTTAACTTGATAAAACATGATTTAGGCTGATATATCTGTCCACCAATAACTGTTTAGCAGGTGCTGCGGGTTTATTGGAGTGGTGCATTTAGGGGAAAATTCTGCACAAAATCCACCTTAATGACCAGCTAAAAACAAGCTGTTAATGCACTTTTGGGGCCCGATCTTGTCCCTCTGAACGTAATGACTGCTTGTTTTTGCCTCATATTAACGCCCTGAAACACATTTAGGTGTGTGTGTCCTGGTACAAACCCATTAGAGAGCCCATATGAAGGAAGTTAAAAGCTGAATAAGACATTGAGATGTTTACAGGACTCAGCTGTTCCTAATAAACGCTCCTTGTTAACATCCAGTCGGACACATTAAAGCAGGTGTAATAAAGCAACAGAATGGACTTTATCTCAGAGCAGTTCTTCATAAACTGTAGCAGCAGATGTTAAATTATTTGGACGACTTATGCAATGTTTGTTTAAAGTTTAGCAGCATTAGAGCAGATTACTGAGATCTTCTTGCCAGAAACAGAGAGAGAGTGTCTGGATATTAAACGTCTCTTGTCTTTAAAGTCTAAGTGATGCCTCGTGTGGTGAAATGAGGAAACTGCTGGATAAACTCATCGAACCGAAACCATTCATACAGTGTAGTTGTGTTATTTAGTGCCACAGAGATCTCAAAAGGAATGAAAACAAACAATATATTGGGTACTCTTCAGTTGGGCAGCTGAGGGATGACAGAAACTAAAAAATAAGCTTCTATGGATGGCATCAGCTTTTATAAGCTTAAATAAGCATATGTGGAGCCTTCCGTAAGCATTCAAACCTCTAGAATTATTTCACCTTCTGCTGTGGTAGAAAATAAGCTTCAATGTTCTCAACTGGGATTTTATGTAATAGAATGACACAAAGAAGTGCATTATTGTGAATTAGAGGGAAAAGGGATTATTTTTAAACAAATAATCCAGAATCTGGAAGGTTTATTTTTTGGATTCAAGCCAACTCTGATAAATATATTTTAGAATAATTGTGTCGCTAAATATCTACCAGCTTTATACATTTAAAAACTTAAAGGTTTGCTCAATAGTCTTTAAAAAAAAAGCTCACATTCAATCATGGAATAAAATGAAATAACCTTTGAATATTACGTTCATTTCTAAGTCTTCACATAAATAGCAACTGAATTTAAGTCTGAACTTTGAATGAACTGTTCAAATTAATGTGGTTTGGTCTAAACAAGCTGAAGGGGAACTTTCAGGTCTGCCCAACTTTTATCTCCTTTCAACTTCCCATCAACCCAGATCAGCTTCCGGAGTTCATCTAAGCATGAGCATCTACAAGGCATGATGCTGCCACCACCGTGTTTCATGATATGTGCTCATGGTGATGTAAAGTTTTAGCTGTAGCATTTTACATGACGCAACATTTTTTCTTTTTTTATCGCATCAGAGCCCAACACATTCTTCAAATAATGACGGCACAGAACAGGTCATTAATTGTAGGGGAATCATTTTAAAAATAAAAATTTTTTCTCTCTATTTGCATATATATCCATCCATCCACCCATTTTCCGTCTCGCTTATCCCAAGTGGGATCGCGATATCTATCTATTAGGGGTGGAACGGTTCACAAAATCCACGGTTCGGTTCGATTCACGGTTTCGTGTTCACGGTTTTCGGTTTGGTTCGATTCGGTATATGTTGATTGTTACACTGAAATCCCATAAAAATTTATGAAATTAATGAAAAAATCCCCCCAAAAATAATGGATTGTAATTATTTTAAATGATCCGCGGAAACCCTGGATCATTTCCGTATGTTTTGCTGCTTTGAATTTAATCATCTGGCGCACGCTCTCTACCATCTCCAAGGGACTCAGAGGGGAGCGGACGAAGCCACAGTGGAGGCTGTAGGCTTTACTTTTAGCAGCCGGTGTGGAGCGCAGCGGGGCAGAGCGGGGGTTGCTGACGGAGTATGCGGGATTTCGGAGTTAGCATGACATGTTGCTGTTAGCATAAACAAAACGTGTTGCACAATGCTTGCACACTGTTGCACTTTTATTCACATCTTTCTTTCCGCCGTCATTGTAGGTCACTCTAAATGCAAAGCGGTCCCATACAGCAGACCTATAAAGTGCTGCTGGCGCGTCTTCCAACTCCTGTTCTTTCCCACTCGCAATACCCACACAATTCTCCACAACAACTGATTTTTTTCCCTGCTACACCGGCTAAGCTGCTTCGCTTCTTCTTCTTCTTGTTTACTACTGGTGGTTGGCTTTGGTCGCAGTACCGCCACCTTCTGCTAGGGACTTCGCCTATAAGAAAAAGGAGCAGCGCATGAACCGAACGCAACACACGCGAAACGAACCGAGACAGTCGAACCGAACGGTTCGGACGGTTTTCATAAATCGTCCCATCCCTAGTAACTATCTATCTATCTATCTATCTATCTATCTATCTATCTATCTATCTATCTATCTATCTATCTATCTATCTATCTATCTATCTATCTATCTATCTATCTATCTATCTATCTATCTATCTATCTATCTATCTATCTATCTATCTATCTATCTATCTATGAATTTTGACTGTTTCAAGGTAAGGGCGCATATGAATCATATTTATATGTATGGACTTAGAATTTTTAAGTTACAGTAGATGTGATTCACATGGAAGAACACATGTATACCTGCAGATTTGTAACGTTTTATGTTCAAAGCACAAGTAGTTGATGTGTTTTTGTATCTGATTTTCATAGGAAAATGTGAATCACAAGAGATTTCCATTTTCACGTTTTTCAACATTAAAAGTTCCGGATCCACATGTATACATGTGCTTTTTCATCTGATTCACATGTGAATTGTCGTGTGTACCACATACCGTAACAGCTGACATGTAGAAAATGGGTTTCACACATTATTCTCACATGTGTAATTCAATTTTTTTAATTGTTGCTCTTTGACTCTTTGATAGAAGCTGCAACATGAATGAAGTACCCACCTGTGTTGGGGATGGTCAACCTTCCACCCAGGAAGTTGAAGGTCCCATAGGAGGTGTTGGCCACATCACGGGGGAGAGTTTTAAAGTAGGTCTGGGTGGATAGCCTGCTCACAAACTCAGCGGGGTCTGAGTTTAGCTTGCCGTTGTGCAGAGTGTGCGATCCGTTGGGAAGGGGGTCCAGCAGAGGGCCGTTACTCATGGAAAACTTCCCAGTGGTATCGTGACGGGAGCGCAGGGTGCCCTGATAACTGGTGGTGGTGGTTGTCAGATCAGGCTGGATGGTGAGCAAATGGGAGTTCTCTGTATGAATAATGGAAACAGAAAAAGGAAAGCAGAAAGGGAAAAGTGTGAATCTCAATAAGTGGCATGTGGGAGGAATGGGGGGGGCAAAACATCCCATAGACCTCACTCTCTAAAGCTTTTTGCAACATGCACAAATAAAAATAAATAAAGAAACAAGGACTGAAAGAGACACATGGTACAGAAAACAGAGCATTCATACAAACACACACAAGCTCTGCGACACAAACGCAAATTCCACCCGAGACGCTTCAGTCCCACCCCCCACCCCCCGCTCCATCACTGCCTGCCTTTTTAGCAGCCTCACAATCAAATCCAAACAGAACTCGGTTGCAGCTTAGAATCCAGAATGCATAAAGGCTTTTTATTTCACGGTGAATCACAGACACTGCAACCCAGTTCCCCGTCTCCATCCGCCTCAGACAGTTGTATTTCTATTACTCACTGTTAAACCTCAGAGGCTCCACACAGGCTGTAAACAGAGTAGGTACATTTCCTGACAATGAGGTGGTGGCGAAATATAATGTGTCAGGCAGGCAAATAAACAGCTCATGAGCCACAAACACACACACCATCACGTCATAACTCTTCCTTGGACCACAGACAACTTTAAATGAGTTAACACCACCTCCACAACCACAGGTTCAAAGCTACATGTGGACGGATGCTTCATGGTCACAGCGGGTTGACGGACAGACGAGGGTAAAACAAGGAACAGTGTCCTACTGCAGTGGGGAGGCCTTCGTGGCCGTGGCGCCCACACACCTGGCTTGCTGGGCTTAATGCCCATAGGCTGGAAGCCAGTGGTGAGGATGGAGGAGTCGGCCACGTCGGCATCCAGGCCCTCTTTTTTGCGGCGGTAGACCAGGACGACCACGATGAGGAGCAGGGTCAGACAGAGGGCCACGGCCACCATGCCCACGTAGAGCGCCACATCCTCGGCTCCACTCACGGCTGCAGGCAGAAGATGAAGAAAAATCCATTAATCAAGATACAGTGAAGGGGGGATGTGTGTTCTGTTTATTTTCTCAGTGCTCTTGATCCAACGCTGCTGCTTTTTTATCTCTGATTTTGCTTTAATCATTTAGAAAAATATAATCTGATAAAATCCAATTTCCTAAAATATATTTCCTCTAAATCACAGTAAAAATAGTATCTTGCATGTTTTTACAACCTTCCTCCAGAAAAGTGTAATCTTTAAGCATATCTACATCTCTATAAAGATCCTTGGGCTACAGTAGAGATGTAACTCTTTAACTATTTGTAGATTTCTTGCTGCACTTTTATCATTTTCCTGCTACGTGAGCAAGGTTAAAAACAAGCATCTACTGTCTTTGGACAGCAGGCCTCACATCTGACGTCAGAGGCGAAGCTGGGGTGCAGTTCCCCTCTAAACCAGAGGGGAGCAGCAGTGATGCCATCATGTGGAAAGTCCGACTTTGATATTTTAAAGTTAGCATGTTAACTAAAAACTGACCACAAAAATACAGCAATGAATTATTCTTAATAAAATATTATAAAATAGGGAGAACTATACAGAATTCATGCTCTTCTAAGAATTAGCTTTTATATTTTATGTGGATGAGTTTGTCTCTGCAATCATCTCGGAGTCTTTTATCTAATTACTTAATGAGCTCAACTCATCAACCTATTCAGTACATTATGAAAGTCCATAAAAAATTCAAAAAGTAGCAATGTATAAATAATATTATTAGGAAAATATGGATGTTGCACTCATTCATGTTCCAGTTGGTTCATTGTGATCAGGATAGATTGACCCTGAACTGGTTTCAGCATCTAATAGTTTTCACCCACCACTGCTCCCAGAAGGTCTGGTCTCCACCTTGCAAAGATTTAAACTGCCAAAGAAGCCCAGCCTTAGATTTCAAAACAAGAAAATCTATTTTTCCCCCACCAAAATAATATAATTTGTGTCAGTCTCTTCTTTTGGGTAATGTACCAAGTACAGAATGTTATAATACTTTCTTATTATGTGGTAACATTTTTATTAAATTTCTTATTGAAATTGCAATTTACTATATGAAACATACAGTCTTCTGGCTACAAGCTTTTTCCAAAGCCTGGATGCAGCGTATCGTGGGTTTGAGTTCAAAGTTACATTTTTTCATCCAAGCTTTACAAGATTCAGAAACTTCTTAAAACTTTGACTATTAAATAAAGCTGCTTGATTTATGTCCAATAAATTGTCCATCTGCACTCAGATCTAAGTTATTGTAAAATGCAAAGCTAAAATAAAATCCCAAATGATTTAAAACCATCTGATTTTCTATCTGGTATAGACTAGTTTGATGTAAACTGGCTACTGTTAGCATCTTATATCACAAAATATTATTTTTGATTTATTAGTCAAATCCAAATTTTGAAAACAAACAACTCGAAATATATTTATTGAACTTAGAAGTGCAATTAGACTATAGAGGAGTCTAGTGGCAACAAATCTGGAATCTTTTCTTTATTCCTGGATTCTTTTAGAATAAAAAAACAAAGGTGTGGAAAGATGACAGAAAATGCTAAATCTAAGGGTAAACATAGTTAAAGCAAGTGAAATTATCAGTGCCCACAGTAACATTACTTTATTTGATTCCTTAAATGAAGACTATTGTATGAAATTGGACACTTAAGATTATTTAAACAAACTACAACTTATAAATCCTTTTTTCTTAGTAAAATATAACAAAAACTTAGTGCAGATAATAAAATATTCTACAGTTAAAACACAGAATATGTTCTACTTATCTATTTAAATACTATGTATTACTTTGCTTATATTAACATAAATTGTAAAATGTATTAATGTTGTAATGTATGTAAGTGGATATTTTACAGTTGAAAAGCTTATTCAAATAAAAATAAAAGTAAATGTTTTTTTAAAGAAAGTGTATTGTGTATGTAAATTAGATGATGTCGATGAAATGAGCGTAACTGCTCTTAAAATGAGATTATTAGATATTTTGGTGCTTTGATAACTTCAATAAGATAACAGAGATGTTTTTTTTCTTATTTTAAACATAAATCATCTTAATTCATTGACAAAGTTTTTCCTTTAACAGCTCAATTTAAAGAAAAAAACTCTTATTATAAGAAAAATGTAGATATATTTTTGCATTGCAGCTTCCCTATGCTTTACTTTCTGTTACTCTCCCAATGTAAGATGACAGGGGGGAAAAAAACAACTAGAATCTATGTTTTTTATTGAGTTATAATGACAGCATGAGAGCATTCATCCTCAAAAAGTTCATGGAAAAACAAAAAACAAAAAAAATGAATGTGTGGAGTAGTGTGAACTATGTGTGAGTGTTTTTTTTTTTGCAGGACTGGATTTGCTACAGCTGTCTCCCTGTGCTGCTGGAATTTGGTGGCGGAGGTGGAGGATTCTCCAAAGGCCTTTGTGGAGCACCATTGTGCCTGGAAGCCACTGGGGCGTAGTGCTGTCAACCGAACACAGCCAAGGAGGGGACACAAGGAGCGGTGCAGCATTGAGGGATGGGGGAACAACGGAAAAGGTTAGAGAGCTGCAGGCAGCGTGTGTGCTGAGTTGACAACAAAAGGAGGAGGACAGGGCAGAAGAGAGAGGACGGGAACAAATGTAGCAGATGGAAAATTACAAAAAGGAGGGCTAAGTAATGAGCCTGACTGAAAATTTCTGGGAAATTCCCATTTTTATCTAACATATCCCAAAATAAATCAGATCAGGACCTGATGCCTTACTTCGTCTTTAATATCTTCAGGCATTTAGGATCATATTGATGCAATGAGCACTAACAAAGAGCTGCATTAACCTTTACAAACAACCATTTGACATTTTAAAATGGTGTTAGTGAATCCAAGGCATGCAATAGAAAATTTAATAAGCAGTCAAATAAAACAAGAGTCTCATATTTATCTATTATTTGTTTTTCTGTCCTTCTCATCCACTCTTCCTTTGAAATCCCACTTTCTAGCCTAGAACTGAAAAGAAATGCCAGAATCTATTTCATGGGGGATTATCTCAGTACAATCTGATACTTTAAGTAGAGGGATTATAGGCAGCTAACCTCTACGGCAGCTCCTCATTCAGCCAGAGATCTCTTGACAAGTAATCAATCGTGAATGACTGGCTAAAGATAAACACAAGATCGTATTTTTGTTTGTTCAAAGCATATATTCACTGAACACACTTGTGATTTGAGGAATCTTCTGGGATGCACACACAGCCTTTCTGCACTCCTCATATTGTCCATTTACCTACTGTATGTGCAGTTCTCTGTCTCTGACTCCACTCTGTGTTTTTCCATCTGTTTCCTCAGGCTAGCACAGAGGTGCTTAACTCTAAGCAGCCTGGCTGAACCCTCCACCTTCCACAGTGAGCTCCAGAATCAGGAAGGGGAGACTCACTGCACCTTTCATTAAATTTCCCAAATCCAATTGTTTTTCGGTGAGTCAAAGGCCAGATGACGCTGTGATGTTTGTAGGAGTAGCTCGGCGGGCTGTTGAGGGACGTTTGGTCTCACAAAAGACAAAACAACACCCATCAGATAGGAGAGCAGCCACCTGTTTTCTACTGATTCAGATTAGCCGGTTTACTTTCTGAGGGCGCAACAAAGACACCTGGCACAGCCAAAGAGATCCAGTATCTCTTCACTTCCTTTTTCTCTTCAAGCACACCGCTCTTGCATCCAAACAATAAAGTCAGTCAATCAGACTACTCCCCCTGCCTTTCTTCCTCTCTGTCCGCCGCTCTCATCTCCTGCCCAGACTGTAATCTCTGGTGGCTTATCAGAGCATCGCTGAGTGAAGTTTTATCTGACCGACCAGGTGTCACAGCCAAACGATCCCGGTGCTCACTGCAGCTCCCCCCTGGCCTTACACACATTGATTCGGATGACGCCGGCCAATAATTGAAAGGACATCCATCACACTTTTAATTGACACAGCTAATCAGCTTTTATAATTGGATAGGCTCTACTGTAGTATCTCTCCAAAATGCCCTCTCTTTCCATGCACTCCATACCAATTTGATCCTCCCCCTCCTCTCTCTCCACCCTCCCTGCATCCTCCACTTCCACTTGACTTAATTGCACAACTTTTGATTCTCTTTGTCTGTGACCTCTCATCAGGATTGACACCTGCCTGTGGATAACCTATAGATGTGATGAGGTTTTTTTTTTTCTTCCAGACATGACCGCAAGGCAATCTTTGTTTGTCTCCTGAGCTTTCACTTCAGCTTGTTAGATTTGCTTCAAGGCTGCCAGGTTAAGGATCAGTTACAGTACTGACTAGAGATGGACCGCAATACTTCATCTCCTCTAAGGCAATGTACCTGTCCTCCATTAATGTTTGCATTCTTGCCATAATGTATAAAGTCAGAATTCTGCAAAAAGTGCACACATTTATTAAATACATATATACGGTGTTATTTATAACACATGCATGTAAATTACTCTCTCTGCACATTTTGAAATTTTATGCATGTGCATAATTTTAATCTATGTATATTTAAAACCACAAGGCCCCCAATTTGTCACAATACTTCACCTCTTCTCTGCTCTTTCTTGCTTTCTATTGTAGATTCTCTCCCACTAACCTGTGGATCTGTTTCTGTGCTCTCATGTCAAATTTTTTCACTTTAAGGGAGGTGTAGGTACCACATCTGCCCTGGCCCTGCGCCTACTAGTGACATTACACCATGGCTGTGTCCCAATGTTCGCCCTAATCACTATATAGGGCACTATATAGTGGTTACGCCACTTTAGATGAGTATCTGAATGTCTAGTGGATGAAAAAGTAGAGGACTCAAAATTTCACAAAATGCACCTTTAAAAGTAGTTATCATCCATGGTTGCTAGACCAGCAGATGTATCCTGGAAAGCTGTGCGAGAACTCTCCTCGCAAAGCATTATGGGGTATGTTGTCCCAGCAGCCCACTGTCACTCCCCAACAGCGTCGACAAATGA